GATCGCACCTGCTCTGGAGGTGGAGGAGTGGCCATCGCTGCAAGACGGAACATCAGTTGCCGGCTGCTACCAAACTTCCAGCTGAAAACAATTGAAGCCATCGGAGTGGAGGTGAGCACATCACTTGGCCCAATCACCATCATCGCGGCCTACTGCCCCAAGCAAACCAACATCAGGGACGGGTCGTCAGTGGCCCTCCGCAAAGACATCATCAAACTCACCCGGAGGAGCGGGAACTTTATCATCGCTGGCGATCTGAACGCAAAACATCAAGCTTGGGGCAACGGTCGGAGCAATAGAAACGGCATCATCCCTAGCATCATCCTCAATGAAGACCTACAAGAGGGCCACTATACCATCTTTGCCCCGGACTCTCCCACCCGGTTGAGTCGGTCTGGGGTCCATGCGACCATCGACATCTTCGTAAGCAACATGGGACACAACGTCTCGCAACCTGTGGCATTCCAGGAGCTGAGCTCGGACCACTACCCGGTGGTGGCCGAAGTTGGATCCTCGGTAAACCGATTCGAAGCTTCCCGGCGCAACTACCATCGAGTCAACTGGGCGCAATATCAACACTGCGTCGACACAACCATCGACTACGATGTCCAACCGGGGACGTCGGAAGATGTTGACCGGTGTCTACAAACCATCGAGGAGGCGATTTCCCGGGCCACCAAAGATCTCATTAGACTCCGTAACACCATTAGTAGGCAGTACCAGCGTACTGGCCTGCCTAAATTGAAGACCAATTGTAATCGATTAACAAAGATCATTCAGGCCAGGTTGGTGGATCTCAGAAATAACGATTTTGCTAGTAAGATCCGCTCTCTCCCAGATTGTGCTAAGCCCTTCTGGAAACTTACAAAAATTCTTAAAAACAAGCCTAGGCCCATTCCCCCACTGACCCCACTGGATCGTCCCGGCGACCCAGTGGTTCATCTGATAACTCCTGAAGAGAAGGCTGCCGCGATAGGTCAACACTTCGTCAGCTCCCATAATCTCGGACAAAACCTCGTCAGCCCTCATGAATCTGAGGTTGCTGAAAATGCAACCAATCTTCTTCAGATTCCTAACATTTTTCCAGAGGAATCCGAGATTACGGCTGACGAACTGTTGGCCTATATCAAATCATCTAAAAACATGAAGGCCCCAGGTTTCGACAACATCCTGAATCTGGAACTCAAACACTTGAGTTCCAGATTCTACAACCATCTGGCACTGATTTTTAATCAGTGCCTCAGACTTGGCTACTTCCCCTCGTGTTGGAAGTCAGCTAAAGTCATACCCATCCGGAAACCTGGGAAGGATCCGTCCTCTCCTTCAAGTTATCGACCAATCAGCCTTCTCTCAGGGTTATCAAAACTGTTCGAAAGAGCAGTCTATGACCGACTCCTTACATGTGCTGAAGAAAACAACTTGTTACTGGAGGAACAGTTTGGTTTTCGGAAAGGTCGTTCGACCGTCCACCAGCTGACTCGAGTAACAAACATTCTCAGACGGAACAAGTCTGTTTCGAAAACATCTGCCATGGCGTTATTGGACGTTGAAAAAGCATTCGACAATGTCTGGCATGATGACCTGGTGTTCAAATTGCAGCAGTATGGTCTTCCAATCTTCCTAGTGAAGATCATAAACAACTATCTATCAGACAGGACGTTCCGAGTCTCGCTGAATGGCATCTCATCGGATGCTTTCAACATCGGTGCCGGGGTTCCACAAGGAAGCATTCTTGGCCCCATCCTATTCAACCTGTTCACCTCCGATATGCCGGCTCTCCCTGATGGTGGATCGTTGGCTCTGTTCGCAGATGACACATCCATCGTCTACAAGGGTAGGGTCATCGGAGCTCTGACTGCCAAACTTCTGTCTGAATATTTCAACAGCTGGAAGATCCGTATCAACGTGGCAAAGACCCAGGTCATTATCTTTCCACACTCTAAATCTCCTAGACTTGTTCCGTCGGAGAATAACAAGATCTGCCTGAACGGCACAGTGGTGGAATGGTCCAAAGAGGTCGTGTACCTCGGGCTAACACTAGACAGCAAGCTTCTTTTCAGGGAGCACGTTGACAAAACAAAAACCAAGTGCAACATCTTGATAAGATCGTTGTATCCACTTATCAATAGGAAGTCAACCCTGTCCCTGAAAAATAAGCTTGCTGTCTACAAACAAATCATCCTTCCTGTAATCGAGTACGGTATGCCAATCTGGGAGAGTTGCGCAAAATGCCATCACCTTAAACTCCAAAGGATCCAGAACAAGATCCTTAGGATGGTCCTAAACAGTCTCCCGCGGACTAGAAATCCTGAGATCCACTTCCTGGCTGGAATTCAAACATTAGAAGAAGGGAGAGTATTCATCCTGGAAAGGTTCAGAGACACCTGTCTGAGATCAAATCATCAGATCATACGTGATCTAGCACGTTAGGTTAAGTTATACTCGTAGTTAGGTAGGTTATCACTTTTTTCAATTCAAATAAAACACATCCCCAAAGGGATATTCTGTAAACTAGTTGAAAAACGCAAATATTAAATTAGAATATCAAATTAAACAAAGATGAAGAGCCAAGTAGGCTAATCAATTAAAATGATAAATCAATGTACTACCATAATCAACAGAAATAAACATAATTTTACTACTACTACTACGCCCGTTCCATCATTGTCTATCCGATCGTCGACCCAACAGCAGAGTAGCAGAGCAGCAGTACCAGAGCAGCGGAAGCAGAGCAACGGCAGCAGAGCAGCGGCAGCAGAGCCTGGGGGCGAAAGGGCAACTACGCCGAGTGCGTTGGTGCCAGTGCTCCGGTATACTGGGCCGCCGTCATGGAATGCCCAGCTGCTGCAGTTCTCAGTCGGTCGTATTCACCTCTGCTCCGCAAGGGCAACTACGCCGAGCGCGTTGGAAAAATTGCCCTTTTCAGGGCCACAACATTATCACGAAAGAGTTTAACGTACGTATGCGAGTATCTGACACCTCTGATATTTTCTGTTCTACTATATAAGCGTCCAACAAGATCGCCCGTTCGATCATTGTCAACAACATCAGCCCAACAAAACGGCCATTTTCAGGGCCACCAAACTTTCGCAAAAGAGTTATTAAGGAATATTCCTAAAATATAATATACACAATTAAGTACAACACATAACAGACGTTATCCAACGCCAACCCTGCGGTCGTATCTAGTATACAACCCTTCCAACTTTTTTGACTTCCTCATGTTTGTCAGCGTGCCATTAAATAGGCAATACTTATCTAACCCTATTCGTATGGTCATTATATTCGACCATACATGGTTTTTAGAATCCAACTGGTCAACTATTGAAAAACAATTAAAATACTATTGATTTTAACCAAAAACTTTTTTTATGGATTCGATATTTTAAGGTTATATGCTTTTTGTCCCAGCACTTTTCTTAGGAACGCATATTTGTATGTCAAAACTATCAAAAACCTTGTGGGAAGGAAAGGGTTAAGGTACACCGGGGCAAGTGAGAATAAGTAGTTATTAAGGATTGTTACTGCAGATTCCCGCCTGACCTAGTTCAGGGCAATTGAAAGTATGGGCTATACCTTCACATTCCCTGAACTAGGCCAAGCGAGAAATTACGGTAACAATCCTTAATAACTACCGATTCTCACTTGCCCAGGTGTACCTTAACCTTCTTTGAAAGAAGGGTAAAAAGATCTCAATGAAAAATACAGCATTGGGTGGTAAAGAACATATGCGCAAACATTCATGCAAATCGGAAATCATCATATCCAACCGATTTGCGATTTGGGCTAGAAATGCTCAATGATCAAATCTGCTACACTAGTATTTACTTACTCATTGTCTGATAACGACATTGGATTTGAAGTATCGCGAATATTTCTACGCATTATAGAAATATTAACCAGCTCCTCTTGGTTATCCTCGTCTTCGTAGAAAAAATCAACACTTGTCCACATCGTTCTCTGGTAGTCAAAGCAGATTGCGACTAACTGGAAGGCTACTGAGACTTATTTTAATCGTGGTTTCAATACAGGATAAAGAATCACGACTAGGACCAAAGATCCGACAACTTACGATAACAGTTGAACCACAAGCTGAATGCCATTAAAATACTTGAAATCCACCATGAAACCTCAACTTCGTTAATAACAAAAATTACACGAAATTCAATATTGTTACAAAAAAATCTTCAGCGGAACAACAAAAACAAACTTGAATATTATTAATCATTAAAAATATTGATCGTTATCTGTCAAAAATGACATGACGCTAGCGTTTTATGGCCAATTCAATCTGATTCAGTCGACTTCCATAATGCCTATTTTTGCTACACTCGACAGCCACTCCACGGCGTCGAGTGTCGAGTTACTCGACAAGAGTGTCGAGCTACTCGACGAGTGTCGAGTTACTCGACACTCGACGCTCGACTCGACTTACATAATTGGGGCCAAAAACCAGGCAGACCAAATCTTGATACCCGATCCAGGTTGCTATAACCGGAGATTTAATAAATATTGTAAAACACCTCATGAATTCCGGCTCCGCAAAGGTACCGCAATTGAGCCTTGATAAATCAAGTATAAAAAATCAACCATTTGAAAATTTCAAACAACGACCAGCAACGTTTGCTTTAACAGGTATTAACGTAAGACCTCCATCTCGCTCATGCTCTCTTTGCCCTTCACTGTATACTATTATCTTTTTTTTTTCTAAAAACTTGCAAATTATTGCAACGAAAATCAAAAGCATATGGTGTTGAACATTAGTATTGGTATTTGCTGTATTAATTTACAGAACGGATGATAATAAGTATGTAGTGGGCGGTGAAGGGAGCATGAGCGGTGAATGGCTACCCTTTTACAATAACGTAAACTCCAAACCGCTCAAAGGTGCTCTCTTCAAGGCTTATATTGTGCCGTCTACCAGTGATCGCCTGACAAGGCTAAATCAAATTAGGTGGTTCGAAGATATCCAATCACACCAACTTTTTTTCAACATTCTATAAAAAAAATATATATTGCTCCTATCCACACCATCAACAATCATACCCGGTTAAAACCAACGCTAAATTAATTCAAACCCCTAAAACCGACCAATCACGCACTAAAATTACTCCTCAACCTGTTGAAGTACTCCATATCCGCCGGACTGATCGACGGGATGAATTTCTTCGTGGCCACTTTGAAATCACTCTCGTTCACAACGACATCCTCCGGACTGAGACCATCTTCGCTGTTCGGGTCTAAAATAATCAAACAGTGAATGCAAACCGCAAATTTAAGATCTCGCCAAAACATACCTTTGATGCCCCGAATGGCCCTCCGCACGGCACTGAGCCACGCGTTCGAGCAAATCGAATACAAATCCGCACCGGTCATGTCCAGCTTTAGACCTTCGGCAATCTTCGTCAAGGTCAGCCCTTTGGCCAGGTGAAATTTGCTGGTGATCGCCTGCAGAACACTTTCCTTGTCCTCCTTCGTGGTGCTGGGTCCAACGTACAGTAGCTTATCGAACCGTCCGGGTCGCAGCAAGGCAGGATCGATCAAATCGGGCCGATTAGTTGCCGCCAGGATGAAGATCTGCTGAGTGGGGTCCGATCTAAAAAGTGGGAAATTGCTTAAGACTGACCTAGGATGAATACCTCTTTTTTTTTGGCTACCCTTTGGAAATGCCATCCATCTCGCTGAGCATCTGCGAGACGACTCGATCCATTACACCGCCGGAATCTCCGGAAACACCCCGGTTCGGTGCCAGCGAGTCCAGTTCGTCCAGGAACAGCACACACGGGGCAGCAGATCGTGCCCGAGAGAAAACTTCCCGCACGTTTTGCTCACTTTGTCCGACGTACATGTTCAGCAATTCCGGTCCTTGCACCGAGAGGAAGCTTAAATTGCACTCCGTTGCGACGGCTTTGGCGATGAGGGTTTTTCCCGTACCGGGTGGACCATACAGAAGAATACCAGAACGGCGCATGTTCTTTCCCATGAGCTTCTTGTGACGCAGTGGGAGACCGATGCTGTTTTGAATTTCCGTTTTTAGCTTGGCCAAACCTCCAATTTCCGACCAAAGCACCTTGGGCACCTTAGGAGCTCCCAAACTGTCGGAGAAGGATGATTGCATTTCCTCCAGACTCTTTTCGAAGTGGGTTAGGGATAGTTTGATATCCGACGAAGCCGCTTGAAGGGCTTTTGAGTATAGCAGTTTGAGATCGCCGAAAATGAAGCCCTGTGTTTGCTCTGCAACTTTTGCCAGCTGAGCTGAAGGAATTCGTGCTGTCTCTTTGGCAGCGATCCACTTGAGAAGCTGTTGCCTTTCCGTCACCGTAGGAGCTAGGAACTTGATCACATCGAGGAACATGCTGGTCAGCTTTGGCTTGGAGGAGTCTTTCTCATTGGCTAAGGCTACAACGATCACCGGATGTGAATACTTACGACTGAACAGGGTGTTCAGTTCCGCCTGAAACGTCGTCAAAATGCGCAGATCTTCATGGCCTTCGTTGTCTATGCCGAAGATCTCAAAGTTCTGCAAGGCAATAATCAATGGTTCGCAAATTTTCGACTTGTTCAGTGCAGAAATCAGCTTCGTTTCAGTTTGGGACGATATCGAAGTCATGATGTCGCTGCAGTCACCATGGAAAATTTGGATTCCCAGCAATTGAGCAACCGAACGAAGAACCGTCGATTTGCCGATACCTCGCTCACCCTGAAGCATGAAAATCGGATAAATTTGATTCTCTATCAACGAGTTGTTCTCCTGTTTCAGGTAGGCAGTTAGCGAAGATCTCAATTCTTCTTGATATTTCCGCAATCCGAATGGACACACGGGAACAAATGCTAACTCGTCCAGCCTCTGAGACGGAACGAAGTTGTTGTACGTTATAGTCTGATGTAGATTCGTTAGGTTTTTACAAACAATCCCGTGCAGCTCGAAACTGTTCTCCGCGGACTCTAGATTCAGACACTTGAAGTACATCGACCTTAAATGAGCAAAAATTGCAAAGTTTTTCGTGTAAAACGTGTTCCCCAGAAACTTCTCGTTCAGGGTAATTTGATAAGTTGCATTCCTGTACAGCAATCGCGGAGTTTCGAAGTGCTTTCCCATGATAAAATCAACCATATCCGACGACAGATCGTAAGGCGTATTGTACAGGAAAATATTAGCCTTCGTCGCCATCAGAGGCAAATTTTGTTGCTCCGACACTCGTTGCAGTTTCCCGCAGAATTCTCTCTCTCCCAGCTTGTATCTCTCTGCCAATCCATGGAACAGATTTTCCTTCACAAAAATCGTGTTCGGAGCAACTCCATTCAGTGGACAAATTTGAAACAGTACCGACACATTCTGTCTGTTCAGTATGATGGATACCAGTCCTTCACTTTGCTCATTCTTCCGACCTCCCTCACAGCTGGCTCGTATCATCAGATTGATCCAGTTTATCTCCCGTTCTACAACGTACTGATTGAATACCGTTCGGCAAACGAACAGTGTATGTTCCGAATGGACCAATTGATTCTGCTGATACTGATCGAACAGTAGGTTCGGAATCGGAACCACCCGGAAGGTAGCATGACGAAGCCGAATATCTTGGCTCAGCTTCCGCAGCGACTGGAGAAAGGAAAATACTGGGAAGTAGAACGACGGGTACTTTCGAAACCGCAGCCGACAGCAGTACAACAGCAGTCGCATCAATTCGTCGCGATTGTTCAACATCGCAATCTGAAAATAATACAATGAATTATTACATAAATCCACTGCAGCACAACCGTAGAAACCACTCCCACCGATTTAAATACGTTTTTCGATGCAAAAGCGAGCGTAAAAACCTATTCCAACATAATCACTGAAAGATGCAAGACTTTGGACTTCCAAAAACGGAATAAAAACAAAAAGCAGCTGATTTATGCTGCTGCACGTTTGACAGCGAGAAATGTCATGCTGCAGCGAGCATAAAATCAAACCGGGCAACATGTGAAAAGGCCCTATGTGCCAAATGGATACCATGATGACTAATCGTTGTTTACTCACGAATCACAAAACGACGACGTAATCTAGCTACTTCATCTGATAGATCAAACTTCCTCTACCAGATGCTGCAGTTGGTTTGATTGAGATTTCCTTAATCCGCGAAAAATCGGCGTATAAAGCCATTGTTTATATTTGACACATAGGCTCTTTTCACATTCAACAGGGAAGTGCCTTATTGGCCAAACAGCGGAATTGGAGCAATCTTTTTCTAGACCAACTTTGCAAAAAGCCTCATTTTTCAAATCAAAATAGGGTCAGAGTTCCAATTATGGCACTAGTGCTCCAGTTATTGACCCTGGTGTCCAACTCAAAATTGGAATTAATTTGTATGGTTTAATTTTCGTAGAATTATGACAAAATATGCGTTCTAGGCTGGCATAGAATTAAATTTGGTGAAGAATGAATAACATTGAAATTTAGGATAGGGCCAATAATGGAACCTCTTGGACCAAAAACTGGAACACTTACCCTAGATTAAAAGTTACGCCAAATCGCATCTCTCCTGACCGACGCTTAGCTATGGTATATAGTAAAGAGCCTGAATTTATAAAGAGGCGACATCTTATCCATTTGACAGGTCTTCTACTCGATTGGAATGACTTTTCTTATGACTTTGACAGATAATCGATTGTTCCAATTTTGACATGTCGTCTCTTAATAAATTCAGGCTCTTTAGTATATAGGAATAGAAAATACGAACTTAGTATAAGAATGGATTATACATCATAATGGGCCGTATGAATAAAAAGAGTTTACTTTACTTTCCCGTGCTTTTCTTACGGGAAAAGTAAAGTAAACGCTTTTATTCATACGACCTAATGTAGGGTAGTATACATGGATTATACATCATAATCAGGGTATCATACAAACCATTTATGGAATAATTCTATCATTTGTGTTATATCGTTCGGGTATGATATTTTTCCATTAGGGAAGCCTTGTTTAAACTTGGCCTGTTTGATTTCGACTGTCATTTTGTTTTTATTTTCAATGGTCGAAACTTATAAATGCGATTTACTAAAATTTGGGTTATTGGGCTGAACCCCGAAATTGAGGGAAAAGTACTTTATTTTGGGTAGTTTTTCATCTCCGTGTTGAAACGATGAGCGTGAAATCGAAAACGAAAAATATGAGATCGAGAAATTTTGCCTTTGAGCAATTCTCTACAGATTGACGAATTTTTAATTTTTTTTAATTTGTCGGCTCCGATTTTGATGAAAATTTGCACAGTTGCTCTTTTTTAGTAAAGATGCCAATTTGTGTTATCAGTTCTTCAATTTGAATAACGACTACTTTTCTAACAGGGCCTGTGTAAAAATAGTACTAATGAGTTAAAAAATATATATTGCTGAAACGGTTTGTTGGATTGATTTGATGTCTTCAGCAAAGTTGTAGATATTATTTTGGAGATAATTTAAAAAATATACACTGTAAAAAATTTCGTTTGTTTCAATGAAAAAAATTATATTTGTTATTAAAAAAAATCATTTCTCAAAAATTGCATTTTTGAAAATTTTTGTTTTAAGCCTCATTGAAGCTCATAATGTTTTCTACAAACTGGCAAAGTTTGGTGATGGTAAACTCCAAAACAAAAAAGTTATGAATTTTTGAAAATTTCACGATTTTTACATTTTTATTAAATTACATGTTTTTCAACCGTGTATATTTTTTCAAGAATTGCACTTTAATTTTGCACAACATTCCCGAAGGCACCATAGAAATCATGCAAGCCGTTTTTGCAAAATAGGTATGTTTATTTCATTAGTGTTTTGCTACATCCTGACATCCTAACTTTTTTTAATAATAAATATAATTTTTTCATTGATTCAAACGAATTTTTTTACAGTGTATATTTTTTACACAATTGCCAAAATAATATCTACAACTTTGCTCAAGACACCAAATCAATCGAACAAAGCGTTTCGGCAATATATATTTTTATACTCATTAGTACTATTTTTACACAGGCCCTTTTCAAAAAGTAGTCGGGATTTAATATGAAAAACTGAGAGCACAAAATGGCGCCTTTACTAAAAAGGAACAACTGTGGATCGGTCAGGATCGATTTGCGAACCTTCATGGAATGCCTCTATAGTAGTTTCAATTTAAACCAGCAAAAAAAATTACCTACTCTTAAGTATATTCTACCCAAAATTAAGTTTAATTCACGTAAATTTGAGAATATACATTTTACTCACAAGTAACTTATTGGGCTGAACTATATCGTTGGGTCGAATCTCTTGTTCCTTTTTTGACAACAATAACAAGTGCAAGTGAGAGGCTGAAGTCAATATTAAGTAAAAAGAACTCCAATTTTGGGTAGTATTTTTTCTCCGTGCACCTTTGGAATGGTTTCAATCAGAGAGAATAGGTAGAGAGGCGAAGAGTGAAAAACCGTGGAAACGGCAGCACTCTTTTTATTATGATTCCATCCTACAAGTTCTGGCAACTGTTTCTGAAGGGCACACTTCAAGTGACTTTTTTCAACTATCTATTTGTGTTGTTTTTTACCGAAGTCGGTTTAATTTTCTACCGAACTACATCGGTTACCAACAACGAACCGAAGAATTCTAGAATATTATTACATATTACTACATTTTAAATTCAAGCATTACTTTTTATTTGTTCATGTATTTTTCTCATCGTAAAAAGTTTTCTTCCAAATATATTCGCAGCGATTACAATACTTGCCTTCACCAAATTGGGGAACATCAACTTTTGTTAATTTTGTTCGATAGGATACCAGTTTGACGGTTCGATAAGGTTTTTTTTGCTTCACACTCTTCGCCTCTCTACCTATTCTCTCTGGTTTCAATCAAGGTGACTTCATGTAGGTGTTCTAATGTGTCAAATTCATGATTCAGCCATGTTGGATTTTTGTATGGGACAGCGACCGAGTTTGTTTACAATTTGCTCTAAAACTGCACTTTTCCACCCCGCGACCTCCTCGCCTATATAGTGACAAAGCTGTATCACCATTTATATACCCACCATGGTTTCAATAACACCTCGTCTGGTGATTGTTTTTGGTTCCTTTGTTCAGCGTTGCCAGATTGTTGTCATGCTTAGCGGTATCAAATGATTAAAAAATCGGTATTCAATATTTTAATTAATTATATATTTTTCAAACTTTTGGACTAAAATCGAGTGATGTACTTCCTATGTAAGTCGGAAGAAATTTCTGGAAACATTTGCATTTGTCTCTTAAGGGGTGTTACAGCTCCCCGGCCCAACGGCCCGCCCGGTTGGGCTCCCTTCAGTCCGCGTCACCGAGACCCCCATCGGATGCATGCCAGACTGATGATACGCACCAACTCCCTGCAGCCCGTTTCCAGCCTGTCAGGGTACGATTTCTCCCGTGAACGGCTCGCGCGGTTGCGCTAAGATTCGACCAACTGTCAATCATGAGTCCATCAAATCGGGCTTGTCAAGGTGGAGAGGTAGTTAATTACGTTTTTGCTCATCACACCTGACGGGATTTGCCCTTACACCCGTTTGGCTTACGGTGTTTTCTAGGCTTTCGCTCTTCGTTGACAGGCCTCGCCTGTGGACATAGCTGTGACAATCCAATTTAGTCGGCCTTGATATCCTTCGTATGGTACCTTCCTTTCTTTCCACTCAAAACGTCCTCCAAAACGTACAAGTTTGTTCCCAGGATCTCCTTCACGATTGCAGGAACGAACTTCGGCTCCAGCTTGCTGTTGATCTGATCGACTTTCGAAGATAGCACGAACGAGCGCCGCCAGACTAGGTCTCCCACCTTGAAAACGAGTGCCCTTTTGCGAAGATTATACCGTTGCTTCGACCGCTCGTGGTTGTTCTTGATACGCTGGATGATGAGCTGCTGTATTCGGCGAATCGCTGATAGGCGCAAATCCTGTGCCACCTTCGGATCCTCCGGCGTGTTCAGTTCTTGCTGTGTGTAAAGGTCCGTGTGCAACAGTAGGTTCCTTCCGAAGTTCGCTTCATGCGGACTCACACCCGTTGATTCGTGCTTGGCTGAGTTGATCGCCGCGGTTATAGCTGACAAATTCTCGTCCCATTCCCGATGATCTCCATCCAACAACGATCTGATACAAGTAACTACGACGCGGTTTACTCGCTCCGCGTTGTTGACCTGCGGACAGTAGAATGCGGTCTTCATATGCCCGATTTTGTGTCGTGCCAGCCAGGATTTGAATAGCAGCGACCCAAACTGCTTTCCATTGTCGGACAGTATGATCCGTGGACGCGCGAACTTCAGACAAACCTCATTCTCCAGGAACTCCACCATCTTCTGTGAGTCTGCCGCTCGCATCGGCTGGACGATCACGTACTTGCTTACCCAATCAACCACCACAAACAGCACCGTGTTTCCGCTTTTGGAGCGTGTAAGCGGTCCGACGAAGTCCACCGAAATCATCTCCCACGGAATTTTTGCTGGTTTCAGGTTACCCATCTGCGGCATCATCCTTATACCTGGAGCTTTGCACGCCTTGCAAGTAGCACAATTCTTCACGTAATCACTGATTTCCTGCTGCATCCGCGGCCAATAGTAGTGAGCCTGCACCTTGTGCCAGGTCTTGTAGAATCCCAGATGAGCAGCGGCTGGTTCGTCGTGAAATCGGCGGATTAACTGCATCCTCTCTTCTTTCGGAACAACCTGCTTCCACTTGTGAAAAACGGCTCCAATCTCGTCTTTGCAGCGACAGTTCTTGAACAGGACATCATTTGCTATCCTGAAATCCGGAAACTGGTCTCCTTCGTTCTTTACTCTTTCAACCAGCTTGCTGTACCATGAATCCAACACTCTCTCCGTCGTGAACACTGCTTCAGCCACTGTCCTCGACAAAGCATCAGGAAC